GCGGTTCTGCCTCAGCAGCTGCATCAGCCTCGTGGGGCAGCCGCGGCCCCGGCAGCAGCGGCAGCGGCCTCCGGCACGGGCCGAATGGTCCCGGCTCTGCTCCTGCGGGGCAAAGAGCAGAGAGGGATCCCATGGGAGCGGCGGAGTGGGGCCGAGGCCGCTGCGAGGGAGGCTCGGCCTGCCAGGGCTGCCCGGCAGAGGCCGCAGCGAGCGGAGCTCCGGCCCCGCTGCGGCTGCTGGCCCGGCCCGGCCCGGCCCGATGCCCGCCCGGAGGCTCCGCTCCCCTCTGCCCCGGGGCTCGGCCAAGGGGTGCCCTGGAGCCCCGGGAGCCTCGGCTGTGCCCGTCCTGCCTGCCCGAGCCCTCCCTCACCTCTCTGCGGTGCCTCCAGAGCCTCCTGCCTGCCCGAGCCCTCCCTCACCTCTCTGTGGCGTCTCAAGAGCCTCCTGCCTGCCCGAGCCCTCCCTCACCTTTCTGCGGCGTCTCAAGATCCTTCTGCCAAGGCAGCAGCAGCCCAGGACGACGCCCGCGACCAGCACGTCTCCGAGGAAGCAGGTCCAGAACAGCAGCGCCAGGTCCCCCCACGGGCCGGCCTCATTGCCCGTGTCCTGCAGCTCCAGCTCCTCGGGAAGCAGGCCCGAGGTGCCCCGCTCAGGACGGCTGGAGGGGTCGAGGGGATGGACCAGGAGTGCCAGCAGGTACACCTGCAGCATCCAGGAAACGCCCTGGCCAGCCATGGTGGTGCGCAGGAGGAGCTGCCACCACCACACAGGCTCTGGACGTCTCTGCACGCCGAGGTCTGCAGGGGCTCTGGGCACGGAACGGCTGGGGGCACTTGCCAGCCACCCTGCTGTCCCCAGAGGCTGTGATGTCACAAATGACAGAATGCCCGGGCTCGGAAGGGCCCTGCAAGTTCCACTCCAACCTGTGCCCCGTGGCCACCATGGCGAGCAGGCCGGAGCCGGAGTGCCATGGCCGGGCTTCCCTTGGGCACCTCCCACAGTGCTGATCCATGAGAGCTGAGGGCTCACTGTGCAAGGCTGAAAGTAAATGAGATGCTCTGAAGAGATTTTGGTCTTGGTGACTTATTGAAGGTGGATAGGACATAATTCCTTCGTTCATTGGGAATGCACAGTTTCGTTTTATCTGCTGTGTTTCTAAGCAGTGCTAAAGAAATGTTATTTCCCTCGGTTTTGATGGCAGCAGAGGCACAGCTGATTGATATGGATCTAAGTAAGGTCTCTAAGATGAAATAAAGTCTGAAAAGCTGCTAGACTAAAGACACCCTGGACCTTTGGTCCCACAGGGAGTCTCTGAGGGAGCGGTCGAAGGGGCTTTGGGCAGCGAAATCTGATCTTCCACCCTGGAGACCAGAGGACACTTGGGCTGCTGGAGTTCCTTGAGTTTATTGCAAGGTGAAGTAGGAAGATGACAGGGAAACAACTGCACGGGAGGGAAGCAGACTCCGAGAGCCCCTTCAGGGGAGGGGTCAGGACATACAACAGGGGAAGGGTAGGAGGGGTCAGGGCACATGGGGATCACTGGGAAGAAGACTCAGGGGAGGAGCAGGGATGGGGTGACATAACTAGAACCAATGGGTGAACAGAGAACTTTCCAGAACTGAGGGATGGAGCAAACAGTGAGTGACATTAACTGGCAGGGTCCAACATTTGATAGACATGGGGAAGGCGGGGATCTCATACATCAGTGGTTTCACAGGGCAAGCCTGGATAGCTTTCCCTGGGTCTGCCTCCCACACCAGACAACCCATATAGTCAATCTTAACAGAAAAGGAAAAAGCTGAACTTCCATCTTAATTTCAGAGATGATTCCTCTGTCCTGCCTGCTTTTCCTACACTGGGTATGTGACCACCACCGTTCATTTTGATCCTTAGCCCTGCCTGCACCACTTCACCTGCCTTCTGCTGTTCACCTTTGCTTTCCTGTCAGATGGAATCACTGAAATAGAAAATATCCTTTATGAAAATGTCCTGGCAATTTTTAAATTTTAAAACTTTGCCCCTTTGTCTTTGCTGACTACTGGTGCTGGCTCATACCCAAGGTAGCAAATGTAGATGGAAATGCTGTACTGAAGATAACATAATTATGTTTAGGAGGAACAGTTATTGCTGCATTGCTAGGAAAAATACTAAATTGAGCCTGTGGGACAATATGCCTGATTATACTAATTGGTACCTGTGCTTGTAATGCTTAGTTACTTTTTTCCTCACAACTGTGGAAGAACACTCGGCCATCTGATGTGGCCAAGCAGTTACTGCAGCTTCCTGGTGCCCTGCTGGGGCGTGCAGGAATGGCCAGTTCAGCACTGAACTCCCCATTTATGCACATGGCTCTTACAGCCCCTTGTTGTGGTGATGTCAGTTTGGGATGGGAGCACATCCATCCCAGAAAAGTCATTAGCAGAGTTGTGAAGGTTGGCACAACACTTGCTTTTCCTGGGAGCTTTCATCAAATCTGGTGATGAGCTCCCTTTTCTGGGAGAGAATTCAATTCCTTACGCTGAGGAGGGAAATATTTGGTGTCTCTCACACCCAAGGACATGGGCTTTGGCACAGTTTGATGATACCTGAATGAATCCTTTAAAACAGCAGCATTCTGTCAGATCAGTTCCTTGTTTCTCTTTTCCTCAGGTAGATTACTAACCCTAACCAGTTACTGGTGGTTTTTGATTTTTCTGCAGCCAGCAGCACAGCTGACCCCTCTCAAAGAAGTTCCAAAAGGACAGAAGCACAACTCATTCTTTTCACCTCAACTCATGGACAGGAAAACCTTTCACAGCTCTCATCCCAATTTCTTACGTGGACCAAAACAGCCTTGTCTCATCCAGCAGATGTTCTCTTCATCAAAGTCCCATGGACAACTGGACAAAGCCTCTTCTTTCAGTGCTGGGTAAGCACCAAGGTCAGCATCTGCTTTTCAGCACTGCTGTACCATGACATTGCCTCTGACTATGGGGTGGCTAAATCTTGCTCCAGCTGCAGTTTATCTGTCTCACTTGCTCCTCCATAATTGATTTATTCATGAAAATTAACAGAGTCCATTCCTGCAACTGGTGCCTAGCTTTTGCAACAGATAGAGAGCTCTATTTTAAGATGTTTATCCACTGAGTATGATTAATTATTATACTACTAAGAATGTTTTCATTGTGTTCATTTTGTATTTTTTATCTCTGATTCAGCCTCCAATTAGCCAAAATTACTAGAAATCCCTAACAAATCACTATGTCAGTTATTTATATGATTCAATATTGAACCAACTGGCTATCAAAATCCCTTGGCCTTGGTCCTCCACTCCTTGGTGTGAGTCTTGAATTTCTCCAATTAACTTTTCCCAGGCAAACAGAGCCAGCTTACTGGGACTGGCACCTTCTGTCCCTTGACATTTGTTACCTTTTGAGGTAAGGCAAAGAGGCCCTGTGGGCAGCCCAGTCTGCTTCAGGCCTCTCTTAATGGATTTTCTGTGAATTTTAATGATAAAGCTTCTCAGGGTGCTAGGCTGAGTTCTGAAGGGAACTGGGATGATCTGCTTCAATGAATGCAGCATCCTCAATTTCCCATTAGTTGCTGACAGCTTCATGAGGAAAAGTCCTCTTCATTTGGGACCAGGGCTATCAGACACAAAGCAAAAAACATCATTCTCATTCCTGACTCCAGGAAAAGGATACTTGGAATAGAGGGAAAGAGAGCTTGTCTTAGGAGTGAGCCAGAGAAGTCAAAATCTAGTGAGGCCACTTATTAATCTTCTCCCTGTAGTCCTTATGCCTTAGCAGGCTGAAAACACCTGGGGCTGTTGTGTTTGGCCATTCTGGCTGGATGTCACACGGATTCTCTGAGCACAGCTGACAGTAACAGAAGGACAGTAGAGAATTTTTATGATCTTGAGACTGTATCTGAAATACAGAATCAACTTCTGCTTAATCAGCTTCATGATGAATGTGAATATATTCAAATAGCAAATTTAATTAAATAAACAATTCGCAGTGAGAAACAAATGAAACCTGAACTTAAACAGAAATGAATATGAGACTCCTGGGAATATCACGTACCGTGGGAACCAGAGCTCAGAACAAACCAAAATGGCCGACAGTGGGAACCAGACTCAGAACAAACCAAAATGGCCGACCAGCCGGAAGTTTTCACCGACTCTTCTGGTCCACCTGTCACTCACTATCGGGCTACCACACCCCGTCCTGAGGGGAACTCCCCCTAAAATGGCTCCTCTGCGCCACCAATGATACCACAACTAAACTGGTTCCTTCAGGCCACTAAAATGACAATCACTTCTCTTATGCAATTCGAGGAACCAATGATCTCAAACTTCCAAAGGAACAGATAAAATCCAGGCACCAAATACCAACAAAACACTGACTCTTAAACCCAATGTCACAAAAATCACAATACACTCAGCAAAACAATATACACATCTATCACTTAAAACACAAAGATTAAGCAAAATATTACTAGTAATATTGCGACATGCCAGACTGGTATTTTAGTATTAAAATAAATAAAACCACACAATATAATAATCCAATAAATAACTTACTATCAGTAGCAATAGAAAGAATAAATGAACTTGACAACACTGACCACAAAATCCCAACTAAAAGTAATTCACACATAAATAACTTTACATAAACTGAAACAAAATTGTGTCCCTAACAAGCAGATTCTAAACCTCCCTCCTACCCCTAATAGGTAAAGGGACTTTTCCTAGCTGGCGGCCTTCACCCTCCCCGGCTCGTCGCTGTGCTACGAGGAATCTCCCCTTGTCCAGCTCTCCTGGCCTGGGGTCCTACTCCCCCCTGGTCAGGCACCTATTCCCTCCCCCTGCCAAAAGAGGGACAATCCCCCAACCGGTGGCCTCACGCTCTGCAGGTCTCCGGTTAGGAGTCTCCAGCCCACCCCAAAGGTCCTAGTTCCTCAAGATGCCCGGGACAGTCCCCGCGCTCACCCTGAGGAACTGCCCCCCAAGTTGCTCCAGATGGTGGAACGCCCCTGTGCCCCCCTTGCCACCCCTCCCAGCCAGCCGCCCCAATGCCTGACACTGCAACTGGGAGACCCAGTCCTGAAGGTCTTCCTGGCAAGCCAGAATGTTGTCCCAACCAAACCACCACCTCCGGTCCCTTCGTGTACGGTGGTGCATTCCTGGCCAATCATTCCAGAAGCTTAAGGCACCATTGCCTGGTTGGCTCTCCCAATCACAAGCTGAGCTGGTGTCATCACTCTTGGATACAGCCCTTCCCCTTTCTCTGGATTGACAGCTACACACACATAACTAACAATTCATATAACTTTTTAATTTATTATATTAATTATAACAATTCATTATAATACAACAATTCATTACACTAACAATTTATTTACAACAATTAACTATCCTTAATCCTTCCTACTAAAACAAATTCATTTATAACAACAGGGGGACTAAAATACTATGGGGTAAGAATCTTATGCCTAAAATACTAGAATACAACGGGGTAGGAAACTTATGCTTAAAATACTTGAACTTCTAGAAGGGGAACACTAAAGGAAATGTCAGTTTCTTTTGGGAGAGGTGTCGGGAAACGCGGGACTGAGGCTGGGGTGTCTCCAGCTCTGGAGATGGGGATGCCGCTGGTCACACAGGCCCCGGAGCTCCGCGCCGCGATGGAACTCGGCGCTGAGTGGGAGCGGACTCTCCTCTCTCCGACGGCCCCGGCGCTTCTCCCTCGGCCCGGGGCCCTGCGGGGCGGGTGGTTCAGGCACAGCTGCAGCAGGGCGCGGTTCTGCCTCAGCAGCTGCATCAGCGTCGTGGGGCAGCCGCGGCCCCGGCAGCAGCGGCAGCGGGCCCCGGCACGGCCCGAATGGTCCCGGCACTGCTCCTGCGGGGCAAAGAGCAGAGAGGGATCCCATGGGAGCGGCGGAGTGGGGCCGAGGCCGCTGCGAGGGAGGCTCGGCCTGCCAGGGCTGCCCGGCAGAGGCCGCAGCGAGCGGAGCTCCGGCCCCGCTGCGGCTGCTGGCCCGGCCCGGCCCGGCCCGATGCCGGCCCGGAGGCTCCGCTCCCCTCTGCCCCGGGGCTCGGCCAAGGGGTGCCCTGGAGCCCCGGCAGCCTCGGCTCTGCCCGTCCTGCCTGCCCGAGCCCTCCCTCACCTCTCTGCGGTGTCTCCAGAGCCTCCTGCCTGCCCGAGCCCTCACTCACCTTTCTGCGGCGTCTCCAGAACCTTCTGCCAAGGCAGCAGCAGCCCAGGACGACGCCCGCGACCAGCACGTCTCCCAGGAAGCAGGTCCAGAACAGCAGCGCCAGGTCCCCCCACGGGCCGGCCTCATTGGCCGTGTCCTGCAGCTCCAGCTCCTTGGGAAGCAGGCCCGAGGTGCCCCGCTCAGGACGGCTGGAGGGGTCGAGGGGATGGACCAGGAGCGCCAGCAGGTACACCTGCAGCATCCAGGAGCCGCCCTGGCCAGCCATGGTGGTGCGCAGGAGGAGCTGCCACCACCACACAGGCTCTGGACGTCTCTGCACACCGAGGTCTGCAGGGGCTCTGGGCACGGAACGGCTGGGGGCACTTGCCAGCCACCCTGCTGTCCCCAGAGGCTGTGATGTCACAAATGACAGAATGCACGGGCTCGGAAGGGCCCTGCAAGTTCCACTCCAACCTGTGCCCCGTGGCCACCATGGCGAGCAGGCCGGAGCCGGAGTGCCATGGCCGGGCTTCCCTTGGGCACCTCCCACAGTGCTGATCCATGAGAGCTGAGGGCTCACTGTGCAAGGCTGAAAGTAAATGAGATGCTCTGAAGAGATTTTGGTCTTGGTGACTTACTGAAGGTGGATAGGACATAATTCCTTCGTTCATTGGGAATGCACAGTTTCGTTCTATCTGCTGTGTTTCTAAGCAATGCTAAAGAAATGTTATTTCTCTCGGTTTTGATGGCAGCAGAGGCTCAGCTGATTGAGATGGATCTAAGTAAGGTCTCTAAGATGAAAGAAAGTCTGAAAAGCTGCTAGACTAAAGGCACCCTGGACCTTTGGTCCCACAGGGAGTCTCTGAGGGAGCGGTCTAAGGGGCCTCGGGCAGTGAAATCTGATCTTCCACCCTGGAGACCAGAGGACACTTGGGCTGCTGGAGTTCCTTGAGTTTATTGCAAGGTGAAGTAGGAAGATGACAGGGAAACAACTGCACGGGAGGGAAACAGACTCCGAGAGCCCCTTCAGGGGAGGGGTCAGGACATACAACAGGGGAAGGGTAGGAGGGGTCAGGGCACATGGGGATCAATGGGAAGAAGACTCGGGGGAGGAGCAGGGATGGGGTGACATAACTAGAACCAATGGGTGAACAGAGAACCTTCCAGAGCTGAGGGATGGAGCAAACAGTGAGTGACATGAACTGGCAGGGTCCAACATTTGATAGACATGGGGAAGGCGGGGATCTCATACATCAGTGGTTTCACAGGGCAAGCCTGGATAGCTTTCCCCGGGACTGCCTCCCACACCAGACAACCTCTATAGTCAATCTTAACAGAAAAGGAAAAAGCTGAACTTCCATCTTAATTTCAGAGATGATTCCTCTGTCCTGCCTGCTTTTCCTACACTGGGTATGTGACCACCACCGTTCATTTTGATCCTTAGCCCTGCCTGCACCAGCTCACCTGCCTTCTGCTGCTCGCCTTTGCTTTCCTGTCAGATGGAATCACTGAAATAAAAAAGATTCTTCATTAAAATGTCTTGGCAATTTTTAAATTTTAAAACTTTGCCCTTTTGTCTTTGCTGAGTACTGGTGCTGGCTCATACCTAAGGTAGCAAATGTAGATGGAAATGCTGTACTGAACATAACATAATTATGTTTAGGAGGAACAGTTATTGCTGCGTTGCTAGGAAAAATACTAAATTGAGCCTGTGGGACAATATGTCTGATTATACTAATTGGTACCTGTGCTTGTAATGCTTAGTTACTTTTTCTCCTCACAACTGTGGAAGAACACTCGGCCATCTGATGTGGCCAAGCAGTTACTGCAGCTTCCTGGTGCCCTGCTGGGGCGTGCAGGAATGGCCAGTTCAGCACTGAACTCCCCATTTATGCACGTGGCTCTTACAGCCCCTTGTTGTGGTGATGTCAGTTTGGGATGGGAGCACATCCATCCCAGAAAAGTCATTAGCAGAGTTGTGAAGGTTTGCACAACACTTGCTTTTCCTCGGTGCTTTCATCAAATCTGGTGATGAGCTCCCTTTTCTGGGAGAGATGTCAATTCCTTACGCTGAGGAGGGAAATGTTTAGTGTCTCTCACACCCAAGGACATGGGCTTTGGCACAGTTTGATGATACCTGAATGAATCCTTTAACACAGCAGCATTCTTTCAGATCAGTTCATTGTTTCTCTTTTCCTCAGGTAGATTACTAACCCTAACAAATTACTGGTGGTTTTTGATTTTTCTGCAGCCAGCAGCACAGCTGACCCCCCTCAAAGAGGTTCCAAAAGGACAGAAGCACAACTCATTCTTTTCACCCCAACTCATGGACAGGAAAACCTTTCACAGCTCTCATCCCAATTTCTTATGTGGACCAAAACAGCCTTGTCTCATCCAGCAGATGTTCTCTTCATCAAAGTCCCATGGACAACTGGACAAAGCCTCTTCTTTCAGTGCTGGGTAAGCACCAAGGTCAGCATCTGCTTTTCAGCACTGCTGTACCATGACATTGCCTCTGACTATGGGGTAGCTAAATCTTGCTCCAGCTGCAGTTTATCTGTCTCACTTGCTCCTCCAAAATTGATTTATTCATGAAAATTAACAGAGTCCATTCCTGCAACTGGTGCCTAGCTTTTGCAACAGATAGAGAGCTCTATTTTAAGATGTTTATCCACTGAGTATGATTAATTATTTTACTACTAAGAAAGTTTTCATTGTCTTCCTTTTGTGATTTTTATCTCTGATTCAGCCTCCAATTCGCCAAAATTACTAGAAATCCCTAAGAAATCACTATGTCAGTTATTTATATGATTCAATATTGAACCAACTGGCTATCAAAATCCCTTGGCCTTGGTCCTCCACTCCTTGGTGTGAGTCTTTAAATCCTCTAATGAACTTTTCCCAGGCAAACAGAGCCAGCTTACTGGGACTGGCACCTTCTGTCCCTTGACATTTGTTACCTTTTGAGGTAAGGCAAAGAGGCCCTGTGGGAAGCCCAGTCTGCTTCAGGCCTCTTTTAATTGATTTTCTGTGAATTTTAATGATAAAGCTTCTCAGGGTGCTAGGCTGAGTTCTGAAGGGAACTGGGATGATCTGCTTCAATTAATGCAGCATCCTCAATTTCCCATTAGTTGCTGACAGCTTCATGAGGAAAAGTCCTCTTCATTTGGGACCAGTGGTATCAGACACAAAGCAAAAAACATCATTCTCATTCCTAACTCCAGGAAAAGGACACTTGGCATAGAGGGAAAGAGAGCTTGTCTTAGGAGTGAGCCAGAGAAGTCAAAATCTAGTGGGGCCACTTATTAATCTTCTCCCTGTAGTCCTTATGCCTTAGCAGGCTGAAAAACTTCACTTTTTCCAACCTGACTTTGAAGACAATATCCGAGCTGGTGGCCTGTAAAGTTCCTGTCATCCTGGGCATCTGGCTTTGGATGTATTTCTGTGTAGATGCTCTGATTCATGGGGAGGCATTCCAACTACATTCCAGCTAGAACGTGGCTGGAAAGCAAGGCCAGAAGAATTGGTGACTCGTGTGCAGCAGGATGCCAGCTTTATTTCTAAGCATGGTTTTCTTTTTTTTTTCCCCACTGCATGTCAAAGTATCCTTTAGAAAATGTTACCTTTTAAAAACAAACACTCCTCCCTCAAAAGAGCCATGGAAAGAAAGAAACAAAGCCCAAAACCCAAAGCAAGATATTCTGAGAATGTGTTGTAATTGTTTCCTTGTTGTAATGTTACCTTTCCACTTAAAATGGAAGGAAATAATATGAACACTTCTCAAAACCAGGGAGCCTACAAACTTCACTGTATCTTGAACTAGAAAGAAATAGAGAGGGTAAGTGGATGAAGGAAGGATGTTCAGAAAAGTTAAATGAAGTTCAAAGGAAGCAGGCAGAAAGATCTGGATTACTGTAGTGATGTTACTAAAATGTTTACTGTGTCATTAACAATAATTAATCTCTCTAAGACTTAATTCCTTAGATAAAACTTAATATTTAACTGCTTTTTCATCATAAATCATTGCTAAAGGATGGCATAAAGGATGGGAAGCTGGATATATGAAGATACACACATTCTGTAAGGCTTGTAATGCATTTACAGGGCCATTGCACGTGCCTTAAGTTATGACTTCAGCAGAGAAGCAAGAAAGAAAAGCTTTTGGAGATGACATTGTGGTATTTCAGGCTGGTTAACTGCAGCAAACCTGGATCTTCACTTCCCAGACTTGCCTCTGAGCAGTGGAGTTTTCAGGGCTCCCATCAAGCACTTGCAGTGTATGTGTTCACTTCCCTGTTTTCTAAGGGCATCCGTTCACCTGAGTGTTCCTCACCCCTTTCTCTCCCCACCAGACACTGCTGAAACCTTCTGGATGTTTCAAACAGTTTGTGGGTTTTTTTTCCAGTGATAGTGGTTTTCTATCTGTTTGGTTGAAATACTTTTAAGCAGCCTATGGTGGTTTTTTTTCAGAAGAGAAATTAAATTGATGGAGAATTGCATTATTTGGTAGTGTTTTCAGGGTGTGGCTATAGCAGTGTGCAATATTTGGGTCAGATGTTTTTTAGCACTTAATTGTCTGCCCAACTGAATGCTCAAGCATAATCAGGCTGATTATGTTTAAGCAGTTGAAAGTTCAATGTACAGTGAGAAACAGGATAGCAATTATCTTCTAAATTCCTTTATATGAGCTACAGGAGGTACTTTTGCTCAGGACTGGAATCCTGGATAATCTGTATCATCAACACAGTTCTGGATTTAGCTCCTAACATGTTTTTAAGAAAAAAATCAGCATGCAAATGATTGAAGTCAATTTCTGTGTTAATCCTCAGGCAGCTATGAGTGGGGACACCTGTGATTTCAGACTAAAAACCAAGAAAAGTTCAGTAGTTAAAATTCTGAGCCCTGAAAGGAGAAGACAACTGCTTATTCCAGGTGTTCATTAAAACCACATTCCAGCACAGCCCAAAGAAGGTGCCTGTGCATTAGAAGTATGGGATGACATTAGACTCTTTAAACACTGTTTTATTTGCCTCTGAATATAGGTGATATTTCATTATCTAACGTATGTATCATTGAAAGCTCTGGTCTTTTATAATTTTTAAATGCTGATTTGATGTTAAGAGTCACTCTCTTGGTTTTCTAGAAGTGGTGTGCAGGCAGGTAAGTTAGGAAGTTTTTCTATAAAGTGCTCCAGTCTGAAGGCAAATATTTCTTCCTCTGGGTTTTTGGCAAAAGTGTCTTACTGAACACCTGTGGCTGTTGTGTTTGGCCATTCTGGCTGGATGTCACACGGATTCTCTGAGCACAGCTGACAGTAACAGAAGGACAGTAGAGAATTTTTATGATCTTGAGACCATATCTGAAATACAGAATCAACTTCTGCTTAATCAGCTTCATGATGAGTGAGAATATATTCAAATAGCAAATATGTGTATACATTATTTTTCTTAATCAGTTCCTTTTTTCCCCAGCAGATCTATACCTGTTGATTTAATCTAGTTGAAATATAATTTTTTCCAATCAGAACTTTAAAAAGCTATCATTTTTCCAGTTTCCTTGTAAAGCAATACTCTCTTCAAAAATATCACACAAATGCTCTGAAGCTCTGAGGTCCCTGTATATTTGAATTAATCCAGTGGTATTCTCCTTGTGGGGCTGGGTTAAATCATAGCCACGTGTTAATTTTTTTTTTTGTTTGAACCACTTTGACCTTGTTCACTTGGAGCCTGATAGAACTCAGTTTTGACACAAAGCTCAGGTAAATGTAAAAGAAAAAGGAAACTAACTCTGCTTTTTATCAATGCATCTTTATGATCTATGCCCCACAAGAGGCTCATGCTTCTCTGATAATGTGGGATTACAGATAATGGGGGAATTGTTCTGCTGCTGAGCTGATCATAAAAACAGGAAGACATTAATGAAGTCATCAAACAGATTTAAAACAGCAGCTTTTATTTCATAGCACCTTTAAGACTGTGTTCAGAACAACTCTGAGATCTTATTCCAAAGCCTCATGATGCTGAAAAAGTGAGTTGCTTGAGAGGTTTGAACCCAGCACTCATTCAGTGTTTTTTGGACTGTTCTTCACGTGTTTTCTGAATTCTTGATGGCAAGTGGCTTGGTAACAGTAGGTGATGGCTGGTTGTATGGAGTTTTTCCCTGGAACATGTAATTTAAACATTATCTGTGATAGACACAGACTCTTGCTGGTATATATTAGTTCAAGGCAGGGATCATATCCATCCTCAACAGCAAGTTTACTTGTTTTAATGGAGCATTCCTCTGCAATTTCACATTATCTTAAGTTGTCCTTTGTCACCGACTTGTATTTAAGATGGGTCATCTTTCCTCCTAAAAATTAACTTCCCAGAGTCCTCTTATTATTTCTCCAACTTGGGGATCTCCTAAGCATAAATGACTACTCTGACATGGGTGTTCCCGGCAGTTCCAAAGCTGCTTTGGTTCAGTGCAGGATTTACTCAGTGAGGACGAAATCCCTTCTGAGAATCATTCAGGGGCTACCCCAGCAGCTCCACCAAGAGCCTTCTCGTTCTGAACTGGAGGATCTCCCTGCCTTCCAAGGAAGCTCCATCTGAGATGGTTTCCCCACACAGAACTTGCCCGTGCGTTCTCCATCTCGCTGGACAGGTTCCAGTGCCTGCCGTGGGTACCACGATGTGCTGAGCGTGCCAAGTGCCCCTGGTCTCAGTCACAAAGCTCTGCCAAAGGCTACATGGCCAAAAGGAAATTTGTTAAAACATGTTGAGAAGTAAAATAGCAACAGTCACGACGGCCAGATGGTGCTCACAGAAAGCTGGAAAGAATTAATCACTGTGTTCTGTAGGCTGGTAGCAAAAATATGTTTGCTGTATTTAAATGAAGATACTTTCCTCAAGAGTTTCAGAGTGATTAAAATTTTCTTAAAACTCTCTGTCAAAATGACATTGGAAGAACTGTGGGCCAAATGATTCAGACCCAAATAACTTGGTTCAAGCATTAGGTGCTTAGTCCAAACGTTCTTCCCTTCTTTGTCTTTCTTGTTGAACATTTTAGCCCTTGTGTCTTCATCTAAGTGAAGTATTTGATAGAATATTGTAATTCAAGTATCCAAGAAAAGAATAAAACCACACTGTGCAGTAAGCTGCAGGCTGATGCATTTTAGTATTTTATAAATTGCTGCTCTGAACCCTGATCTCAGTGACATCCCCAACGGTTTCAGCTGAGCCATGATTCTTATCTTTGGAATCCTCTTTATTCACTGTTGCTTTCACTACCAGATTACAGTTTAAGTGGCTGTGAAAAACTTCTTCCTGCTTGAAGACAGCTTTCTGTTTTTTCACCTTTAAAATGTATTTGAAGACTCATTAAACAAGTCCCTAAGAGTTCTGCTACAATTATTTGGCTGCTTTTGGTGCCTTTTTTGCTCCTGCCACATTTCCTTCTTTTTATACATTTTTTTTTTGTTATTATTCCATTGTCACATTTTCCAGTGAAATCAGTGAACTCTGCAATGAACTCTACATTTCTCACAATCAAAACAAAAACCTAAACCAAAACCATAACCAACCACCAGCAGCCAACTCCAACCATGCTACATCTTCCTTTCCATAAATGATTTACTCTTGAATAATTTACTCTTGAACAACTTGCAGGGGGAAAGAACTAAAAAAAAAAAAAAAAAAGGCAATGGCTGATCTTTCTTCCTTTTTCCTTTTCCTCAAAGGAGAGGACAACAGGATTTCTGATAGATTTTCCCTTGGAAGACAAATGAGAACATTCCAAGCTTTGTGGATTGGAAATCAATGTGCATAAAGCAAGAAAAATGGGCAATGTTATCAAGCCCAGAGTTTGCACAGCCAGTGAACTCCAGAAGAAATGGGCCATTTTCCCATCTCTGTCTAAGCTGCAATCAAACTGGCTCCATCTGTGATTCCCCTTCCTGCCCCAGCACAGGGTGTTTATGCTGCCTGGGACTGACCCACCTGGATCCTGAGAAAGTCCAGTGCATTTTCTGGTGTTATCCAGTGGT